CTATATATTTTTAGCTGTCCAATTAATTTCTTTCTATTTTTGGTAGAGACGGGGTCTCGCTCTTGCTCAGGCTGGTCTCGAACTCCTGAGCTCAAGCGATCCACCCGCCTCGGCCTTCCAGAGTGCTAGGATTACAGGCGTGAGCCACCGCGCCCGGCCTAGGCAGTGAATTCTTTTTTCTTCTCTTTGTAGTACTGGCACATCAGAAGTTTTTGATCTGTTAGTTGAATTTATTTATTTATGGGAGAATGATTTGTTCTCAAATTAACTTTAAGAACCTCTATATAGGTATACACATGTATATCTTAACCAATTTTAATCCCCCTTGTGGTTGCTTTCTGGTGAAGATTTTAATTCAGTAGATGGGAAATAAGGACTTTGGTTTTTTCTTAGTTTCTTTTTAAAATAGACTAAAAACAGAAAAGTTAACCAAGTTTTAATTTCATTATGAAGCCTTGTTTTTATAGATAAACAACCGTTTGTAAACTTTTGAAACTAGCATTTATAAGAGAAACTGCCTTTGAAATGTACTTTGGAGGAGTCTACTCTTCCAATTACTGCATAGCGAGGAGTTTTAAAAATCATCTCAGTTTATGCTTGTTCTATAGTTCAGTTTATAAATTTGTCCTCCCCTTTCATTTTCTTTTTGCATTCTGAAGGAAGTAGACTTTTCCTGTTTTTTCAGAGACATTTGGATTCTTTTTTGTGTTTTGAAACAGGATGTGGTTGTTGTAATGGAATTACATGTGAGTTAAAGTGAATTTTCATATAAAATGCTTTTCATTTCCTTTTTAAAAAAGTGACAAATTGTGAAGCCTGTGTAGCTTGCTCTTCCTTCCTTCTTTCCTTCTTTTTCTTTCTTTTTTCTTTTCTTTCTCTCTTTCTTCTTTCCTTCTCTTCTCTTCTCTTCTCTTCTCTTCTCTTCTCTTCTCTTCTCTTCTCTTCTCTTCTCTCTTCTCTTCTCTCTTTTCTTTTCTTCTTTCCCTTTCCTTTCTTTCCCCTTTCCTTTTCCTTTTCCTTTTCCTTTTCCTTTCCCTTTCCCTCCCCTCCTCTCCTTCCTTCCTTCCTGTCTCCAGCTCTGACTCTTATTTCTATTGTAACCTTTTTTTAATGCTGTAAAAGATGCTAAAATGCTATGTATGGAAGAGATATATATACTAGATAAATTTGATCATAATGTTTTTTAGATTGGGTTTGTATTTTTATTTATTAATTTATTTATTTTTTGAGACAGAGTCTCATTCTGTCACCCCTCTGGGTAGAGTGCAGTGGCGTCATCATTGCTCACTGCAACATCAAACTCCTAGGTTCAACCAATCCTCCTGCCTCAGCCTCCTGAGTAGCTGGGACTATAGGCGGGCTAATTTTTTCTATTTTTTGAAGAGATGGGGGTCTCCTTCTTGCTCAAGCTGTTCTTGAACCCCTGGCCTCAAGCAGTCCTCCCACCTTGGCCTCCCAGGGTGCTAGGATTATAGGCGTGAGTCACCTTGCCCAGCCCAGAGCCCATTTTTGACTCTGAATTTGCCCTCTCTGAAGTCATTAAATTTATAGTATCTCCAGTATCAGGGCCATACCCCTTATTTTTTAGTGTTGGCTGTCCTGAGAAATCCATGCGAAGCCCCCAGCGTAAAACGGACTGCAGCCTGCAGCCTCGAACTCCTGGTCTCTAGTGATCCTCGTGTCTCAATCTCCTGAGTAGCTGGGACTATAGGCGTGCCATCTTAATTTGCTCTGTGATTAGCTAATCAGCCTCTAATTGGTTTTGAATATATGTCACTTCTAAACTAAACCATTGATTTTTTTTTTTCCATAAACGCTTAAGTATTTTTTTGTCACATCAGTTGAATACTTAAAATTTTTTTATGTGTGACCTACTTCAGATTGTCTAGTTCGGTAGGTATTTTACCATATTAATTGTCTGCTTCTTTGACAACAGTGGTGTAGCTGTTCTTTTGCTGATTAGCAGTCATGTTTTTGAAGTAATGACATTGGTTCTTGTCCTTACCTAGTTTCCAACCGGAGACCCTATCGGCAGTACTACGTGGAGGCTTTCGGAGACCCTTCTGAGAGAGCCTGGGTGGCTGGAAAAGCAATTGTCATGTTTGAAGGCAGACATCAATTTGAAGAACTACCTGTCCTTAGGAGAAGAGGAAAACAGAAGGAAAAAGGATATAGGCATAAGGTGGGGGAAAAAAAAAGGCCTTTAAAAAATTATCTACTTGGGGGTTGGCAGAGAGGAGACAAGGAAGAAGAATTATGGTTTTTGAAATAGGTTATTTCTTTTCATATTAGGTTGTTTTGAGAAAATAGGAAGCAGGGTTTTTGTTTTTTTTTGGTTTTTTTTGCAGTGATCTGGAGCTAGCTTTAGAAATACTTACACTCAATTTGTTTAGAAATGATTTCAGCTACCTCTGTCGTTACACTCAGAGAAGTTACAGTATGACATAGCATGACCAGTCTTCTTTTGTTATTTCTTATGCGAGAAGAAAGTGATGACTAAAATGGAATATTCTGCGTCTCACCCTCTGGACTCATTATTTCTCTTAAAAACGAGAAATATAAGGCTTTTACCAGTTTTTTTTTTTATGTTTGCCAGTGCTTAAGTTTGCAGTTTCAAAACTGATTATATTTTAATGATGAACATTGTGGCTTTGTTTCTTTTTTTTTTTTTTTGAGACAGAGTCTCGATCTGTTGCCCAGGCTAGAGTGCCATGGCATCAGCCTAGCTCACAGCAGCCTCAAAATCCTGGGCTCAAGCAATCCTACTGCCTCAGCCTCCCAAGTAGCTGGGACTACAGGCATGC